TTTATTYAGTTCAAATTGATAGTGTGCTGCCGGGGTCTCCAGCAAAGAAGAAAAAGCTCCTTAATTTCTTTTTGAGATGAAGGATAATTTAATGACTTAGGCACAAACAGAAGTGCTGAGGGTGATTTGTGCCCACATAGATTGTGAGATGGGATCTCCTGACAGAGGCTGTGAACGTCACGCAGCGAGCAAAGGGAAGAAGAATGACTCAACAYGGTATAAATGGAAAAAAAAGCCATTGCCTTTCCACTCTGTTTGATCTTTAATCAAACAGTTGTAGTGTTTGAAGAGGTATCCACTGCAGGAGGCATCTGGGAGTTGCCCTCCTCTCAGATCGTGTTCTATCTATAGATCTCTGATCCAGTGTGTGCCACGGATGCTGTGGCTCCAGGCAAGAATTACTCTTTTGGGACTCTCAGGGAAACTTGCTGCTGCCACGTGAGCTCATTCATGTTTCCTGTGTCATCTTTTTTTCCTCCTCTTGTTGTCATCTGATAGGTGGGAAGAACTTGAGGAAACTGTTCTGTCTGTAAAGCCTCCTGACTTTGGAATGAAGGAAAACGAAATGTTAATAACTGTAATAAAACAGAAGGCTAGGCTCTGGCCAAGTGAGCCCATTGGTTTGTGGAAGGTGCTATGATTGGTTAGAATTTGGCACATTACCTTCCAGGGCAATGTTTTATTTTACATACCTTTGGAGCTCATAAACCCAGTCACTGAAATAATTTCTTTTTCCAGACTAAAACTCTCATTTAAAGCTTTTTATGTTGAGCATGAAACTTGTCTAGCCTGTCCAGTAATAGTTATCTGGGGTACTAGGATTTTTGAAGTGGATTGGTGTTTTTTGCTCTAAGAAATGAAATTTTTTAGCAACTGCTTCTTAATTCAACAAATTATTTTGAATAAGCTTAAGAATAGTTTATGTTCTAAATGCTTAAATAGATCTGTGTGCCTTAAAACTTAAGGTCTTGACAGGAATCCTTATATCTGTTAACAACTGAGGTTTTCTCTATGGAGAAAGAGCTATTTTCCTAACATATACATTTAAAATAAATTGAGGCAGAACTATTTGAGGTGAGTGCTGCCCTGCTTCAATCTGTTCTGAATTTGTTTAGGGGTAAAAAACCCAAAACCCCACAAGAGACGAATTTGAGCAGCAAATAAGAATCCTAACAAGATCAAGGCAATTAATACTTCCTCTGCATTGAAAATATCCGTGACAACAGGCTGCAGCAATCGAATTGTCACAGATGAGCTTGGGCTGGCCATCTATAACTGTGACAGGGGCAGGGCATTATTGAGAAAATGTTATTAGGCCTGGGAAGGAGAAATTTGATTCATGCACAGGGAAATTGGTGGTATTGCTTGGTTTTCTGTATTGCCCATCTCTGTGGCTTGTTGTACGCCTGTGTCTTTGCATCTTAGCTAGAGTAAAACATAAAACAAGCACGCAAACAAAACTAAGAATAAAGCCCCACCCAAGAGATGGTTTGTGCAGAAATTGATTTGTAAAATTACTGTGCTTATTTTACAAGGGTTAGTAAATAAATAACATGTATTTATCTGAAGAATGAGCTCTGGGGGAAAGCTTTGATTTTCAGGGGTTTTTTTCCTCAATGTATTAAATGAGTGAAAGAAAAGCATTATACTAGAATCTGTACAAAAGTAATTTTGGGGAGATTTATGTGCAAGTGGGGTGAGCTGTGCTTTCTGATTTTTTMATTTTCCCTTAAACAACAAAAATAAGACAATAGTTTGAATCTGCTAATCAGTTTTCCATCAAAGTTTTAATAGATTGAGAAGAATCTGTAACTATTTGTGTTCCTATGGCTTCTGCAGAAATTCAAGGCTGTTCAGAAGAGCAAAGCCCCCATCAGTGCCTGCACCACTGAAGAGAGCAAGTTAGAGAATTAAAAAGGTGCAAAGACGTTTCACTATGACTTCTGCTTCTGTATTTTATTATATTTGAGTCCTCTGAGCATCAGTCAGACATTTGAGTCCTGCATTAAACGTGCTGTAGATAAAAATAGGCATCAAGGAAAGTTGCAGAAGCTTTTGTTGCACAGTGCAGTACTTTGAGTGGTCCAGGGAGTGCTCTCAGATGGTTGGTTTGTCTCTGTCTTGCATCCTAGAGTTGCACTGAATGATGAGTTTGAGATCAGGGAAGAATATTYCCCATTTTGGATAGATTTGGAGAAGGGGGTGGTGATTATGACTTGCCATGTAGCCTGGGCATGTTGCTTCCTGCATTTCTACAGGCATGTAATGGTTCCTTGTTTCCAAGATTGGGATAAATCCCTTCAGCTCCCKTTTTTTCTATCCTATGGTGTGTTTGAGGTTTTGAGGCCTTTGGTTTTCTCGATATTTATTCTTGTGCWTGCTGTTGTCACTGGTGGGTGGTTCACCACTGGTTTGTGGTGCAAACAGCTGGTRATAACTCCACAACCCCCTTGTCTTGCCTTCATTTAGTCCAAGGAGAATTACACATAATTTTTAATTGATAGCATGTGATCTTCATCAAACCATGTATTTCATGAAGTGGYACACATTGATATCTTTATGCAAATGTGATGTGGGATTAGAAAGATAGAAGCAATTGGTTGAGAAAAGATTTAGTTTAGATCTTTGATTAAAGCTTTGTGGAATATTTTGTTTGCTTTTTTCTTCTCTGGTAAAGATKTGATAAGATATGCTGCAATCTTCCAGTGCCCTGTGGCAATGGGAGGCTTTGTGGTTGTGGTTCTCCCATGGGCTTCTGCTTTGTGTTGGAACTTAGGGAATAATTTCAAAGTGAAATTAATTTCTGAGCTCCTGGACRTTCWGTTTRCATCYRATCTCATTCAGGATGTATACTCTYTTAAATGAAATTTAACAGAYGCTCATTTTGGGGAAAATGAGATTWTCCTCAAATCTTGGTCACAGATGTCTTAGACCAGGCTGGATGGGCCCTGAGCAGCCYGGTCTGGTGAGTGGCATCCCATTCTGTGAGTCTGTGATAACTTTAGTGAAATTTCTGCCAACAGATCCATCCAAGGATCTTATTCCCTAGGTTTGCAGTTCTATGTGTAAGCTGAAGTAGTGTATTCAAGCAGAAGTAAAGATAGCTTTAAACACAGATGCTAATTAGACTTGGCCAATGGTGAATTGTGAAGCAATCCACATTATCTAAGCCCTGTGGATAAGTAATAAAACACGGTGTAAGTCCTCTTCAAAAATGTTGTGTTTGAGAATTTCTTAYTTTTCCACCATCCAAAGCATGTCTTCAATACAAAATACAGTTTCTTTGTTTGCTTGTGTACTGATTTTTCAGAATAAAATTACCTCTTTTATTCTTTTTCAGTTCTCCAGAATGGGACTTTACAATTAATTTATTTGTCCCACAACCATTAGCCATCTTGTATCCTTGTATCCTCACTATTTTACATTTTTCAAGCTGCAGGCGATGCACAGCTCATGTCCCAAACCCCCCAGAAGTTGTCACATATTTTCCATGTGATTTGTACAAAGGGTAATCTCTCATCACAAAAATGGGTTCTGGTGGCAAAATGTCACCCGCAGCTGGAACATTAGCTGTGAATGACACGTATGGTAGGAATAAATGAATTTCAGAGCTGTGCAGCTGCTTTACCTTGAAACCCAGTCTGGGGAAAGGCTGCACTTCGGGAAGGAATAAATAAATAAATAAATAAATAATGGTCTCCTATAAAAGATCACTGCTTTTGACTCCGCTTCCAGCACATGTATCTGTTATATTAATATTACACTAATATGAATAGAATACTTCCTCTGTGTTTGGGATCATCCTGGTGATCAAGACAACAGCTTGGCAATTGGTGGTCCCTGTGAAAACAGAAGAGAGAAGAAAATTTTTAACAGGGGACTAGAAATATTAGATCACCAGAAATGTCTGTCTTGGCTGTATCCACAGTAGCCCAACCCATATTTTTTCAACTAAGTGCAGGGAGAATCTTTGTGAATAATGGCATAGCAGATACTGTAGAGTAAATAATGTTTTATCTGTCAATCCAGGTACCTTCTTTAAGTCATCCATACCTTTGCCTTTTACCTTTCTCTGTTCCTTGGTAAGACTTCTTTCAGCTTCTCATTTTAGTGGGTCTTCAGAGTTTGGTAACTGTTCAGTATTTTGGGTCCAAAAGCTACCATTTTTTTTCTTATGATAAATCTAAACCAGCTGTGTCTTCTTTTCCTATTTTGGAATATTATGTTCCAGACCCAGCAACGAGAGAAAATGTGGGTCTGCATCTTTTTCAATTAGCATCAGCAGGGCAGCAATMTTGCTTATGAAAAACTAGGGATAAAGATCACAAAACAACCTTTCAGGAGCTATCATTCTTACTTGGAAAAGCACACAAACATGGCATGTGAAAAGAACATTTGTTGAACTCTGGATAGGCAAGGAGAGTAGATGCTAGTGGGTGCTCCTAAAGTAATGTTTATGTTTGCAATTAGAGGGGGGCTTTGAGAGAGAGAGGAAAAACAGATTATTTGTTATAAAATATATTAAGTGCAAGGGTGTTTTTTCCCCTCTCGGAACGGAGAGTTGCCAATATATAAACATTTCAGGGAGAATTTTACACCACCTCATCTTTATGTCAGGCAGCATTTAATGGTTGAACGATCTCCTGCCCCGGCACTTGGCAGTTATTCTCCAGGGGCTGACTTTGAGGATTACARTGACAGTCTATCAGTGGATCTTTTCCAATATAAACTAGACTAGGACCATTTAAAATCAGTTGCTATCAACAAGTCAAATTAACTTTTATTTGTGTTAGAGCTTTTCCTAGGAGTATTTTGTAASAATGTGGAATTTTAATATCCGGACGGGCTTTTCCTATTGTTGGTATGATTTGGGAATGTGCTAATTCATGTGATTAAGAGCAATTTGCCTGATTTCTTTTAGAAATATGTGATTTGTAACATTCAGGTCCAATCAGCGTTTAGTGCTCACACTACTTTTTTCCTATTCCTGCTTTTTACAGGTAGAAATAACACTTCAGGATATCAATGACAACCCACCAGTTTTCCCCACAGACATGCTCGATCTGACTGTGGAGGAGAATATAGGAGATGGATCCAAAATACTGCAGCTGACAGCCATGGATGCCGATGAGGTAGGAGCATGGTTTCATATTTGAATATTGGTACTAAAAGTGCTGCTCTGGAAATAGGTTTTTACCTGTTTCCTTCATCCTTTTGTGTAAACTTGGCCCTAGGTACCTTGCAGTCATCACAAAATTCTGTCCAGTATCAAAGAGGTGTAAAGTAACTTTGAAACCAAGATGTTGTAGCTGAACCCAGGTGTGCAGTGAAATAATTCTGGGACAAGCYTTGGAGAACAAGAAAACTTCTGGTCATGCCTGCTCTCCCTTTGACTAGACCTAAGAAAGATCAATATTAGCCCTTCCAAAAGAGGGTTTTATTTTACCAAAAAGAGGGGGAAAGAAATGATGTTAAATTATGTGCTCTGTATCTATTTGCAAAACAGTTTTGCCGTCTTAGATTCATTACTTTGAGGATGTTGCARTTAAGGTGCTATGAAGAGACTAAAATGCTGTTGATGCATTCATTTATTTTAGCAACTGAAGTTATGAAAATGTTAATCTTATTATTTTTGTTCACTCAAACKGATTCTTTCCACAAGGGAAAGGCCTAAAAGGTCAATATAAACATGCAAAGGAGTTTGTGTTATCATTAAAATATAGAGTTACATTTGACAACAACAAGCAGTTCTTGCTTTCAAATAATAGGGCAATTCAGCCTCCTCCAGAGAATTTTTTTCCTGGCCTTTGTTGTGTTAGCTTGGTTAGTCTTCCTGTGATTGTTAATTGGTATACTTAATCTTACTACTACAGAGGGAACCACGGGAACACCCCCGGGAATGGTACCAATGTGACTGTAAATATTTTGTTCTTGCCTTTATTTTCTGGTAGTAGTCTGATATGCAGACAAAACTCAGGGTTTTGGAAAGGTGAACTTCTGTAAAAAAAAATCTAGCTTTTTGTCTTTATTTTAGGAAGAAGTAAATATTGAACTACMACTCTCTGGTGTGGTATGGGAAATACATTTAATATTGTAGGGATATCTTACGCTCCAGACTCTTGTTAACCATTCCTGAGCTGCACCTAATCTGTTACCTATTCTGAATCACTCCATCCGGTGGGAAGTGATTTGTTACCTCAGAGAGAGATCAGCCAGTGTTTTTATCAAGAGGAATGATTTCAATTTCCCTACCAGAACATTTGTAACTTGAACTCTTCACAAAGAGCCCAAGTTTTCTCAGCGATGTGCAGTTCAGGGTTGAGGTACTTTTTCATTCCCCCTCTTTTTGAAATAATATGGTATAAACCAGTACCACACATGGCTGTGGTTTTAGCTGCACTCTGTTAGAAGGACTCTGCCTGGTCAAACACGAGGTGAAGAATGTGTCCAACTCTGAAAATTCTCAGGAGATTTGATGGTTCAGCCACACAATTGAAGGAAAGCGTGTGACATCCCCATGGCACACCTGAGCACACAGCTGAAGCACTGCACGCAGCTCTTCAGGGCTGGGCACCTGCAGAAGCCTGTTTTCTTTCTAAATTGCCTTTTATCAGTTAGCTCAGCCTGACTCTTTGAAACAGCACCCCAGAGAGAAAGTTTGGCACGGGCACTCTGGTCAGGTCAGGTAACAAATGCTTTTCTCTCTTCTCACAAACACGAGCAGGTGTTTGGTAATTTGCTTTTTTAGGCAAGAATATTTGAAACAGCCACGGAATTTCTTTCTGCCTGATCTCTTTGATCTGTTGTTCATTGCACAAGTGCCACTGGCATGTCAGCAGCAGATTTCAGCTGTGAAAGCTTAGCTCTGCCCTGGCACCAGRGGAGGGCACAGTAAATATCTGCTTGCCCACCAGAACACATTGCCAGGCACCATCAGCATGCAGGGTGTGGGTTCTTGATGTCAGAGGTTACTAAACCTTCAGTATCCTTAAGCCTGTCTTTGAAAAATAAATACATGACATTTTTCCATGTAACATTACATTTTCTTCATTTTCCTTTCAAMCAAAATGCTCAAAGTCCACATGAATGCTTTTATTTTTTTCCGTGAGAACAAATGAAATTTTTTGACCCAAAAGCAAATGCTTTTGACTTGCAGCGTAACCCAAGGGATCACAACTGTGATTTTAATGATGCGTGATTGGTCTCTTTGGGGTTTTTTGTTTACAGGGGTAAACATATTTCCATGTAGAAACTGACCTTTGAGGGGCTGCTGCAAGCACAGTCCCCATGAGTTTCTCCTGACCATGAGCTGTGGCCCTTGCCATGCTTGGTGGCTGAAGGAGCTGCCCTGTGCCTGCCCCAGGTTCTCTCTCCTTCCTTCCAACCCTTCCTTCCTCTCCAGAAAACAAGAAAGGCAGAACTGATCCCACTGGCAGGGATTTAATTTAACCTTCAAACATAAAACAAGAATGAACATTGATCCTTATTAAGATGTCACACTGCTTGGTGATGCTGGCTGGAAACTGAAACAGGTAACAGAGCTTTTTGGTATTGATTGGGTGAAATCCTTTTATGAACAATGGGAGCACAAAGTATCTGGGTAATCTCGTCTTTTCACATCTCATAAATAAAAACCATGTGCATATGTGTCTGCCATGGGACTGAAGCAGGGACTGGGCAGGAAAGCTGTTTATTAAAGGAAACTCTTCTGAAAAATAATCCCCAAGTGCAGTTACTGGAACGATCCTTGCCTTACTGCAAGTTACAATGTGGTTTTCCTGGCGGATAGCACGCTTTGACCACTTGTGTTTTGCCTCAGGGAGCCAATGCCCTGGTCACATACACCATCATCAGCGGGGCTGACGACAGTTTCCACATTGACCCCGAGTCGGGGGAGCTGATCGCCACCAAGCGCCTGGACCGCGAGCGCCGCTCCAAGTACTCGCTGCTGGTGCGCGCCGACGACGGCCTGCAGTCCTCGGATGTGAGGATAAACATCACCGTCAGCGACGTCAACGACCACATCCCCAAATTCTCCAGGCCTGTCTACTCCTTCGACATCCCAGAAGATGCCACTCCAGGTAAACGGGAAATGGAAATGTGATCCCCGACCTTTCAAGTGGTTGTGTTCTTCTTTTAAAGCTCGTTTGGGATGCAAGAGTTTTTTGATGCTTAAAAAGGGGGTTGTAAACACTGGAAATATGCTTAAAAAGGGGGTTGTAAACACTGGAAATATTTAGATTTAGTTTTCAAAAACTGTGCTCCATTGCATGTCTCCAGATGACAAATTAATATAAATTCCAATAAAACAACTGTATTTCTATTTTATAGAGATTATTAGTACAAAAGTGTCTGCCAGTAGCATCTCAGAAGCTTGCTCTAAAACAAGAAGAAACCAAGGAGATGTAAATGACATGGTGACAGCTTTCAAGCTTTTATTAGGGTTGTCATAATCATGGGAGTCTCAGTTTGGGATAACTAAGATTTCCCTCAGTGCCTTCAATTTYTGCACTCTGCTCCATGGTCCCTGTCCCAAAATTTGGTGGTGTTTTGCATTAAAGGATTGCAGTGCAATCAGCTGTGCCTCAGGAGTCTGATCTGGAAGTAATTGAGATGTCTGTGTAGCACAGAGTGCTTTGGTTGCTGATCCCCAGCCATGCTCTTTGCTCTCAGAGCCCTGAGTCTCAGTCTGTTTTAGCAGGAATAGCCCTGGAAAAGGCAAGCCTAATTCCCTCACATTAAAATGATTCTTCTCTCGTTAATCATTTATAGGGTGTCCATTAGTGCTTCCTAGCCAGCTTAGCAGTGATGGATGCTGAAGGAAGAAATAGGCTGATTTTGTATTAAAGTAGTGCATCTTCTGCTGTTCTGCTCTCCAGCAGTCCTGGAGCAGATACCAGCATATCCAGATGGATTGAAGCAGCACTATTCTTCATTCTGATGGTATAAGCAGCYTTCATTATCACATTGCTTGAAAATAGTTAACTGTGCTGGCTGTAGTTCATCTGGTTCCACAGAAAGGGAAATTTAATGATTTATTTTCTTGGAAATGAACTGATCTTAATTAAAATTAGTGTTCGAAGTACTAAAAAGTGACACTTGATTTCCAAACTTCAGTCAGATAGGTCAGTCATGCGAGGGCAGCTATGCAGAAATGAAAACACTGGCACGAATTCACAGGGCGTTGAATTTCAGAAAACAGTGGAGAACAGACCCCTATAAGGTTTCTCGTTTTCTAACCGCAGTTACCCTGTAAAGGCACTGTTTCAAAGAGCAAAGCTGGGACATGTGGTGTATACTCACATTTTGGTTTCTGCATTTGGAAAGAAACATCTAGAAGGTTTGAGAACTTGTGATTGTCTGCGGCAAAGGGAGGGTCTTTTGAGTCATAGGAAGACAATACCAAGTAGGAGAAAAGGTATTTTTGCCATTGTTGATATCTAATCTGGATAAAGATAAAAAGCATTCCTGGCCATTTCTTAGGGCAGGAATTAAGGCAAGAATATGGTGTCCCTTGAAAAAACTTATGCAATAGTTACTCAGACAGAATTGAGGCTTGAATTTCTCTTTGAGGATATCTCTCATGTGTGATGCTGAGCTGACTCTGCTGCAAGTGCCTGATGATGCTCTCCTGTGGTGCCGTGCAGGTTCCTTGGTGGCAGCCATCCTCGCCACCGACGACGACTCAGGTGTCAACGGGGAGATCACGTACACCGTGAGCGAGGATGATGAGGAGGGGATCTTCTTCCTGAATCCCGTCACCGGGGTGTTCAACCTGACCCGGGCGCTGGACTATGAAGCGCAGCAGTATTACATCCTCACCGTGCGTGCTGAGGATGGGGGCGGCCAGGCCACGGCCATCAGGGTGTAYTTCAACATCCTGGACATCAATGACAACCCGCCCGTGTTCGCCATGGCCTCCTACAGCACCTCCCTGATGGAGAACCTGCCCCCGGGATCCGCCATCCTCAACTTCAGCGTCACCGACGCCGACCACGGTACGACTGCCCTCACATTCTCTGTCTCGAGTCAGTAACCTGGGTTTCACCTCAGCAACATATTAGAAATCTTGTTAAAAACTTAACTTACTCTCATATGCTTAAACTCACGTTTAAATTAGACCTAGGTGTTCCCGCAATCTTTTTTTTTAAAATTTGTAATGTATTCATAAGAAGGTTGTGGTAATATCAGGTGTTATCTGCGGTCATCTTAAATGTGCTCTAAATTTTAAGTGTGTCACTAAGACAATTGTCATCCTCAMGATGTTGAATACTAAAGGTTAAAAAACTTACTGAAAGAGATCTTGGGGAAATTTCCCATCAAAATAAGGTTTAATCTAGGGATTCTTTATGGCGTCTACCTGTGCTGCAATGTAAAAGGTACAATCTTCATAGTTTGCTAAACCATTTTGCCTTGCCCAAGCAAGAATAGTTATAGAATGTGACCATAAAATAGGTAAACATCATTCTGTTGTGTACAGCATTTTCTGAAGTGTCCACAGACATTACCCAGTGTGACTTAARGCAAAACTCTTCATAACACTCACAGTGGCTTTACAGGTGAAGGTTATTTTTGTGACATTTGAGCAACCTTGTCTCCTCTCAAGCTGACAGGGGCTCAGCAGAGCCCATGGAAGTGTCTCACACTGAAATGTCCTTCAAGGACAGAGCAGCTACATGCTTTGAGGAATCCCAGTTTGTGCACCTAAAATGACTGAATCCATCAAGATTACTCAGTAAAGCAGTTTTTCTTAAGGAAATGCTGAGTTGTTGAACTCCAACATTTTTGTGGGGAGATAAATTTTGTGCTGATGGGTGGAACTTTCCATGGTAAAAATCGTGTTACTGGTTTTGAGATCAAACTGAGTAGGAAGACATTCCATAAGATAAGCCAAGAAATCAAAAGTTAAAACTTTGTGATTCTGGCTGTTCTTGCATGMATCTCTCTTTCACCACACTTGTTAAGCTTTTATTTTACGTAAAYTAAACATAAGTTGGAGGAGGAACTTGAGCTTGTATCATGCAAAGCCAGGGTTGCTCCCTCAGACTTGGAGATAAATGGATTTGTGTCTATCTTCTCCTTTATTTCTTAYTTTCCTATTAGGGCTGCAAAACTCAGTTTCAAATCTCTTTGGAAGTTCATTCCATTTCACCATTATGAGTCTGTTTTCCTTTTCACTTGCACCTCATACATTAATTTCCATCTGTGCACAGTGGATGGGAACTATATCATAGCACTGACATATCAATTCACATTCATCACACACTCAGTTATCAAGGAGGCAAAGAGTATTTGAGGAGCAATGCAACGAGAAGTCAGATATCTTGCCTTTTATATTTTCTGGCACACTTGCTTTTCTAGCAGGCTGGATTTAAAATTAATAGGGCAGAAATATCATTCCAAGAGCGTGCCAGGTTGARTTCTCCCATAGGACTGTAACTTAAGCAAATGTTATGATCTATTGTTGTTTCTGTTTCAAGCCCAAACGCGTTATCTCGTGTTGTCTTACATTTATCTASAGCACAGAAATAGCTGGTGCAAGTATTGTACTCTTCTCCATGTGCTCACAGATAGTGCACTCAATTCAAATATAATTTTGTTGATTATTTATGTTACATGACCCCATAGTTTGAAGGAGCTCTGAAAAGACATTGTTTTATAATGAGGTATGGCTGTTGTTTTAGCATAAACACTGATAAAGACAGAAACATGGTGATAGTGAAACAGCTCCAATTTTCATTTTCTTGTTCAGTACAACCCTTGGGAAACAGCAGCTGTTTATCTCAGCTTGCACTGTTCCATATACAGACCCATAGCAAATATCAGCTACAGCTCTTGGAAATTTAATAATATATATAGTAATATAATAATACATACTAAAGAACTCAGTTACGTTAAACACATTTATCTAGAGATTAAGATTTTATTTTTTTTCAAGAAAGAATTAACAGGATAAATCTCAGAGGAAAGCACACACAACTGGTACAGTAAGGTATTCCTCCAGGCAAAGCTGGTGTAATTTCCTAGCTAAACTCTACCAGTATTTATGGAATGTACTTTTGTGGTGTTTTTGTTTTAGTCTCATTAGTAAATAAATAAAAATAGAAACAAAACTCTTTAAAAGAGTGTTATCATGCAACTGGTGACTCCATGTCTGTCCTTTGWCAGTTTTATCAGATTAACCCTCAGATTAAATAAATGTAAACTTCAGCAAAGAGGATGTTCCTGCATTCTTCCTAAGAAAAGCCCAGCTCCAAACCTTGAAAGAAGGGGGATGGATGTGGTACACAATGCCAGCTTGGCATGCTGTGTTTAAAAAAAGAATAGTTCATTAAGTGGCCTTCCTGGCTTCACTGCTATTTAGGCAACTCTTCTGTTTCATAGTTTAATTTATGTAAGCATTACCAGCATGGAAACCCATGAGAATGCAGGACAAAGAATGAGAAAATGTTCATGGAWGTGAGATAAAGAGGAGCAAACAGTAAATTTTCTTAGGAATAAACACCATAGAAAACAGTGAGGGTAAAAATAGAGTATTTTTTAAATAGTTTTCTTTTGCAGGACCCAAATCGTACCCATCTCCAAAAATTGACAAAAATCTTGAATTGGCAGAAAGTACTTTACGAAATCAAGACTTTCATCCATATAATTAGTCATTTGAAAATACAAATGAACAAAAAAGCAGACTAGCATTAAACTTTCACCCTCCTTCACTTGATCAAAGTAATGGAGAAACACTCATTTCTGCCAGATAAATGTATTAATTTCTTTAATTGCATTCAAATATTTTGTCTTTCATGTTTGGTTCTGTTCATTTTATAATTTAACTCCAACAAGAGGAAAAAGAGAGAGGGAAAGATGCCAATTAGAGTAGCCACTGGGGGAAAGACAAGTAAGACTAGATTTCTCAAGTCTGAGCATAATAAATAGCAGAGATTAGTAAATCTAATGCAGGGATAATTTTACTATCAAAGCAATTCACTTGGAGAGAAAAAAGCTTCTGAGTAAAAATGACAAAATGCAGAGCAATCAACGAGTGGGCAGCTTGGTTTCTTTGCATGAACAAGCCAGTTTGAGGGGTAAATTAGTAGCTAATGGTTGGTTAATTTACTAATCCTAAATAACAGTCTTGAATACACAAAACAGGAAAAAAAAATTGAAATTAATTAAAATAGGAGTAAGACAGAYGGAAAACTCATTTCACAATTAGATGTTCCCAATAAGTAGTTGTTTATAGAGTGAACTGTGGGATCGAAGTAGTGACACACATTGTTTCCTGCATGAAAWATTTAAGGATATTTCACAGCCCTTTCAAGGTTCAAGATGCATTTCCCTTACCGGAATGATAAATCTCTCYCCTGACCATAATTGCTAGTTATGTTTTGATCATGAGATGAGGGCTGTTCATCTGATATTTTGGAATACCATGCCATATATGGGAAGCATACCTTTCCCCACTATTCACTCTTGGCTTRCTCCAGCTAGGCTTGGGAGTTTCTGGTTGTGGCTTCTTTTAATTGAGTGGAAGAATTCATGAAATAATTACATTAATAATAACGTTGCTTAGTTGAACTGGGAAGAACGGAGGAAACCAGATGTTCAGTGAGCAGCAGAGCTACTGAGTCTTGGTTTCTGAAGGAAAATACTTCAAACCCTTTAYTGTAGATGGGGAAAAATTACTCGTGGTGCCACTGTGCAGCTCCTGCTGAATGAAATGCAGAGATGAACTGTGCCAGCCATTCCCTCTGTGGCCTCTCCAATTAACATCCTTCCCGCTCTCTCTTTTCAACTCTTGTCAGAAAATATTCATTTCAAAGGCTTCTGCTCCACTGTGAAACTTGGCTGAAATTAGCAGATGGGATTCAAAAATGGTTATGAGAGGGCTGAATACTCAACGTGGTTGTCCAGTCCTCATTTCTGTAGGAAAATGAAGGAATATTTCCTATGGAAATGAGGCCAGAAATACTGATACCTCAGTCGGTGGGATGAAGTCATGTTCTCTACCTTTGTTGTCCCTCCCCACCCAGGCTCCAACTCTCAGCTRTCGTTCAGCATCGCCTCCGGGGACAGCGCGGGGCAGTTCGCCATCGACAGCCGCGGGGTGCTGAGCATCCGGCAGCCTCTGGATCGGGAGAGCCAGTCCTTCTACAGCCTGGTGGTGCAAGCCCACGACATGGCCCCCCCTCCAGCCTCCAGGTACACCAGCACGGCCCAGGTGTCCATCATCCTGCTGGATGTGAACGACAGCCCCCCCAGCTTCATCTCCCCGAAGCTGACCTACGTCCCYGAGAACACGCCCATAGACACGGTGGTGTTCAGGGCGCAGGCGACCGATCCCGACAGCGGCCCCAACAGCTACATCGAGTACAGCCTGCTCCGGCCTCCGGGAAACAAGTTCAGCATCGGGACCATCGATGGGGAGGTGAAGCTCACCGGGGAGCTCGACAGAGAAGCCGTGGCCAACTACACCTTGACTGTGGTAGCCACAGACAAGGGCCAGCCGTCCCTTTCGTCATCTACGGATGTGGTGGTCGTAGTCCTGGACATCAACGACAACAACCCGCTGTTCGCCCAGAAGCTGTACAGAGTGGAGGTGGCAGAAGATACTCTGACGGGGACGGATTTAATCCAGGTGCTGGCTACGGACGGAGACGAAGGGACCAACGGGCAGGTCCGCTATGCCATCATCAGTGGAGATGGCAGCAATGAGTTTCGGATCGATTCCGTGACGGGGGTGATCACGGTGGCCAAGCCTTTGGATAGAGAGAGGAAGCCTTCCTACACGCTGACCGTTCAGTCATCTGACCGCGGGAGCAGCCCCAGGACCGACACYGCCACGGTCAGCATTGTTCTGAGGGATGTCAACGATTTCATTCCCACCTTTGAACTTTCTCCCTACTCTGTGAACGTCCCTGAAAATTTGGAGACGCTCCCTAAAGTTATTCTTCAGGTGGGTACATTCAGCAATAAATAATGATCTCTGACAATTGCCGACATGCTATTAACGTTCAGTGTCTTTCCTTCAAAATTAAAAAGGGGCAAAACAGCAAAAAAGTTGCTCCTTGGCTTTCGTTGGACTTGCAGTCATTTGCCTGTTTTCCTTTTTGTTTGAATGGGTGAGGCTTTTTTTACCAAAAATTTTAAGTTAAGCTTTGAGTTCTGTTCATGTTTCCCCACCTATCCTCACGTCTGCCTTCACTGGGACTTTAAGAGTCTGCTCTATCTCTTGTCTCATTCTCAGCTTCCATGCAACAAATCTCTCAATCTGGTCATTGCCTACATGGGATGAGGCTGTGTGCCAAATGTTGAGAGAGAACTAAATGGATTGAGACAGCAGGACGTGCAGTGCTTGCTCTCATACAGAACTCAGCCTGTACCAGGTCATTTGTGGTTTTCACTGAGCCCCAACACAGTATTACTGTATTTATGCTTGAGAAAAATAGGTAATCAACTATTGAATATTTTCAAACTGTGCTTTTTAGGTCTGCCACCACTGTGTTAAACATTTTTTTACAATTACAGCTAATTTATACTTGTAGCATTTGAATTAATTTAATCCGTTAACTTGGATTATTATCATTGAGGATGTTTCCTTTATCCCAGTATAATTTTACAGACACACCAGGTCTTGATAACCATTTTTTTTTTGCATTGCTTGTGTAGGTTGTGGCAAGGGATGACGACCAAGGGTTGAACAGCAAGCTGAGCTACATGCTGGTGGCTGGCAATGAGGAGGGAGCCTTCACTCTGTCGGGCAGCGGAGAGCTGCGCCTGGAGCGGAGCCTGGACAGGGAGGCCAAGGAGCAGTACCTGCTGCTGGTCACAGCTTCTGATACAGGTAAGGCAACCAAAACCTCTCTTCTGCTCAGGTCATGTGCAAAGCATGGAGTTCTGGACAGAAATAAATGTTTTCATGGTGGTCTGAAACTTTAGTGGGTGGAGATTGGGTGGGTTGAATGGAGATCTCTGCAGGGAGAGGCTGGGCTTAGCTGATGTCAAAGGGAGTTTGGTTCCTGGAGGTCAGGATTTTATTTTTATGTCCAGTTGTCTGCTGTTAATAGTACTCACTGCAGGTTTAGGGAGGTGGATTTTTGCCCTGCAGTAGCAAGTGGTCCATCCTAAGTCATAAGACCTTCACGCATATAAACAGCAATAAAACCCATATAATGTTGGCATCACAAACGTGCAGAGGTCGCATCAGCGACCAGAAAACAGCTAACAACTACCCAGTTAATCTTACTGAAATCCTAGCCCTGAAAAGTAATAAGAATTTGCATTTCATTATTTTAATTTTCTGCTTTGCTCAGCATCCAGTCATATGTTTGCTCCACAATACCAAATTTATTCCAAGTTTTTTCATTTTAAAACAGGACGTGAAGTCTTGTTAGGAAGATTAATTGCACTTTCACTTGAGGTATCCAAGCACAGAATTTTGGTTTCATATTTTGGTGTATTATTAACAAAGACATCCTGCATCATACTTTGGACYGGTCTCCAGTCTCCCATGGTTTGATGGATTTAATTTACTGCAGAACTTGTTCCTGCTTTCCAGCAGTAAAAATAGAACCAAACCCAACATGTTGACAAGTGAATACAGTTTTGTTTTCTGCCATGCTGTRTGCAGTATCTCTTGTGCCAGTGACAATAGCTATGGCTTATATTTTCCTATTGCAGCAGTGCTCAGGTATTCCACAGCTGAAGCTGCAAAACACAATTTTAGGACTTGAGGTATCATTTGTCTTGTGCTTTGGCTAGAGATGCTGTGTGCTTTATGGTTTTTATACTGGTTTTCCATTACTCTGAGCCTCAAACTGCTCACTTGTGACTTGGACTTGCTTGGGCTTGAATGTCCTTACGTTCCTTCGGAAGCTGAGGCTGGATTTGTAAGGATCACAGATCCTTCACATCTCTTTGGTCTCTCAGYCCAAGCTGGTGGAATCAGTGAGGGCAAGAGAGTGAGTACAGAATACCTGAACTGATATGGGGTGTCATGCAGCCAACAATTATCGACCTTCTTGGATGAGGGAGGGGAGCAGAGCTCAGCTGTACCCCATGCCTAGCACTGTGTGTAAGCCAAGAACAGTCTTTTTCTACACTCTGGTCCCTAAAAAAAACAAAAACCAAACAAAATCTAGGAGATTTAACCAACAGTTAAATCCTGCAGTCCCAAATGAAAATATTTAGCTGTGTTGGGAGATCTGTGCCTTCCAGGTAATGCAGGGAGATGTTCATACATGAAGTGTGCAYGGGGCCTTTGCCACAAGTGCTGAGAACAGCAGCATGTTTTATGAGTTCCTGTGTTTAAACAGGTAGATAGCACACTCATTAAACACTGTTTGAAACTTCCTTTTTAAATTTGCTGTGCTCCTGTAAAGCTAACAAGTTCCCATGCCCTCCTGCCAGTGTCAAAGTGTACTAGCAAGCATATTCAGAAGCAGCTGCTCAGTTATAACTTCAAGCTAAATGTAACTGCTTTGCTGTGTTTAAGTTTACAAYCTGACTAATCCACAGCTGGTGTGATTTGGGATAATTTTCAACCAGGCTGGTGAATAACAAAAACTATCATCTTCTGGTTGCACTGAGAGTTGTTCTGAATTCACACCAGCAAAGAAYACATTGAAAATTGTGATAGCTGTCATTTATCTAAACTAAAACATCGTAGGAAGTAGAAGTCTTCAGTGGAAATCAGYGGCAAAACTTCACTTGATTTCATGGAAGAAGATATGAATCCTGGGCATAGATATCCAGGTGGTACCACTGGCTGCTGCTAGCCAATGTCTGCTTCATTAAATGAGGTATTTCTTGCCATRCTGGCAAAAAGATGGGAATGACACAATCTTGAAATGGATAATAAAAGTGTTTGGAGTATTTATGTTCTTGAGCAGCTGCTAACTGTTTATCAAAGAAACTCTCACAGGTGCTTCCAGCTCTTTGCCTAATGTAATTATTTCCTTTGAGTCTCTTAGTTTGTGTTTGTTTGATAATTCTTAGAAAGGAGGATTTTGCATGCAGACCAGTCATCCAGAAATTCGCATGCAAAACAGGTAGGGAAGCTGTGCCTGACAAAGAGTCGAAGAAAGCAGACTTGTCTGAAACTCTCCACATCCATTTTATATTTGAAAATGAATCAAGGAAAAGGTATTATCCTTTGCACTTTGAGGTTGGCTTTTATTAGCTGTAATAAACAGTCTCTCAAGTTGTCTTTAGCAGCCCAAAGAACAGTCTTGCCATATATGGTGCATCTGATTTAAGGTTTGGGTTTTTTTTTTACAGATAAAAATCACGGTACACATCCAGATGCACTTAACTCTGGAAAAGTCTATCAGGAGCRAAATTCTGTCTGTCCAGCCCTCTTCCCATTTTTCTTAGGGTCTGCATCTCAGTTTTTATAGGCTGYACTGACTGGTTGAAAATATTCAGAGATGATATCCTGCTCATAGAAGTCTGTGCCAACTCTTCCTGTTCTTTCCAGGAAGCAGACACAATACATATTTAGAAGCACCATTAGACATTGGAACTAATGGATTCTCAACTTAGTTTTGGCTGTTTTCCTGGTCTCCTTATCCATAATCAAGGATTTCTTGCTTTTCTTATGTTTATTTTCACTTTATCAAGTTTTGACTGTGGATTCTTGCAGTGGTACCTTAGCCTGTGTAAGGGGAAGTTRCTGGAAGAAGGATGATTTGTAATTTTTCATTATTTTTCTCTGGAGATACCCATCCAATGTACCTTTATAGGTTTTACAGCACGTTTTGGCAGCAGGTACGCTGCCTATAACAGCAAGGGAAGGATTAGGATGTGGTAAAGCGTGGAGCCAGCAGGGCTGCAGAGGATCCAGTGCCTGTGCCCTCAGGGATCTCTGAGCTCTTTCCTTGCACACAGGCATGCTCTCCCAGAGCCTGGACATTGGTCCTGGGCAGAATCTGTCCTGAATCCTGAGAAGAATTGTGARTTATGGAGAGCTGAGCTGCTCATAAGCGTTGGGGACAGGCCAAGTAGGGGACTGCTGGTGGGGCCACRTGTGCCAGCAGTGGAAATCCAGGCGCTTGCTGGAGAAATGCTTTCCCAAGCAAGAGCTCCCCTCAGGCCCAGAGAAGTCAGTGSTGATAGATGCATTGTCCTGGCTCTGGCCCAACTATTCCTTGGCCTTGCCTGCTGATCCTCCGCCCGGTGCTCAGGGTGGATCGCGGGTCGGTGGAGWSTYYTCTSTGYGCTGGGGGAGGGGAMAGACAGACAAAACAGCTCCTGGTGCTCTGCTCAGTGATTTGTGTCTGCAGCCTGCCTTGTGCCCAGTGTCCACAGGACAGTCTGCACAGAGGGGTTTGATTCCTGCCTTGGTTTATCAACACTCTTCCCTCACTCTGCACTTCCACCGTGCTCTCACTGGGCTGGGTCTGGGATGCTCGAACTCCACTCCAGGTAGGGGATTTACAGGGACACACCAAGCATCCATCATTGGGAACATTCACATCTTCCAGAGCTGTACACCTGTGGCTTTGGCCGAGTAATAAACCATAATTCAACCCCATAATTTAGCCATCCCCATTCAGAACCTTCCTGCAGCACAAGAGTGCACGGATWATGAATACAGCGACAGGCAAAGTGATGGGCTGTGGAATAACAGGGTAGTRTTTAGATTGCAGATGCTGCCCCAGAATGTCTGCTAACATCAGCACCAAAAACCTACACACARYTATTTGAATGTGTCTTCWYGGGTCTGCTTCTACCACATAAATCTCTTCTGCTTTGCTGTACCTTTTTTCATGGCAAAATGGTTGGGAAAAGAGACCTTTTACTTTTTTTTTTTTTTTTTTTCCCCGTCTGGTGGGGATGCTCCACTAGGTAAACATTCACTTCTGGCAGCGTGACAAGAACTGGTGCAGCTGCTTTTATCATCCATGTCTTTAACTCTTTGAGCAATTTTCTGGACAAATGTTAGCATTCCAACAGTCGTCYTCCTTTTATTTATTGATTGCAGGGATGTGGAGTAGCACATCTGGAAAYCTGCTCACTGCCCAGGACTACTGTTTAAATAAACTGCAGCCACCACCTCTTGATTGGGTTGGTCAGAATGGCACATTGCCACAATAAAACCATAATCAAATTCTGATGTTTCTAATTAGAAGCTGTGTTCCCGTGTTTTGGGATTTTTTAATTTTATTTTCTTAAATAATCTATTTACTGATTTAGATAAATAGTCCTGAAAGAAATGAATAAGTGGAGTGATTATTATATTTAGTTAGCTGTTCTTTGTATACATCCCTGGCCTGGATGAAAAACAACCATATGTTTTTTCTTTAGAAAATGTTGGTCCCCGATTTATGCATTCTTTCCTTCAAGAATGTAGGAGGGCAACCAAGCAGAGAGGTTATTTCCTTCTCAGGAATTCTCTTCTGAGCCGGGCTTTTGGTTCCTTTCAATCCTAAAATTAAATGAAAGATGACAGTGCATTTCAAGATGTTTCCCAGTTTGGGGTGACAACAAAAAGCTGTATTTTCTAGTAATGATTAGGAAGTCTTAAGACTGTGTGAGGTTTATGTGGCTAAAAGACATTAATATTCATCCTGTTTGCTTAACAGGCACTCTATTTCTACCTGAAATGGATTCTACAATGTGAAAAGATGTTGCCTGAAAAGAATGAATATTATTTTTAAAACAAATGTAGCTATTTTTAAATGTTGGTGCTGTCAAAACAAACAAGTGACTCTAGTTTCAGCTAGAGGTGTCCTGTGTGCCAKGCTTTCTGTGCAGTGTCTGAATACACCCTTTGCTGAGGCTTTGGTGAGCTCAATGGAGCTGATGCCTGCTCACCTTGGTGTTTAGCAGCTGACAGAGGGA